CTTATTATAATATTGGACGTGGAATATGGCTGGAAATTTTTTGTCATTGTAAGTGCTATGGTTTCTAAGTAACGTGCAGAAAACCAATCTTTTTTTTTTTTTTTGGTTTTTTAAAAACCGATTACATTGTTCTGTAAGCGTGTCCTTTTAGCGATTTGGCCCGTTTTCAATACTAATCAGCGTGCGAGAAAGTCCAATGTGTCCGCTAAATTTGAAGCCAATAGGTTCAAGACAATGTTTACTACAGATATTACGCAGTTAGGCAGGGTGACAGACATATACGTTTAAGCCGATTTAGAATTTAATGCTGAGTTTGCTTCTGCACGTTGGAAACTTCCTGAAGAAATTATCCCTGATGGGAACAAAAATAATAACACATATAAGCGTTATATGCTTAGGGATGATACGTGCGAGAATTTACTAAAGCATAGCTAATAAATCCAAACAGCAAGCCTAAGAAGAAATTGTAGATTACACCAAAGAGTAGATCGAGTATCTTGTAATCTTTGCTGATAGTAGCCCCACGCATGAGCCAATTGTAGCTGGCAGGGAAAAAGAAGAATTTAAAATCGGTATTATAAACTTAACAAAGCGTATTAGAGAATACTTTTCTGTTATTCATGTCGCTCTTATAGCATACACTAGACGAGAAGTAATCCTTCGCAGATATCGAGCTTTCAATAAGCAGTGTAATAACAAAATCTCCTTTGACGGAGATGAAATTTCTTGATAATGCGTTTTCAATAAAAATTACCAAAACTAAACGTATTTCGCTCTGGTATTATGCATTACGAATCGCGTGACTGACTGGCTGCTCGCGCAAAAAAACAAATATTCTTCCAAACGTGTGACTAATCTATCGCATTTGTACTGCACTTTAAAGTGTATGCAATAAAAATTTCTGCGAATTCAATTGCTGTTTCCAAGCAAACCTAATTTGCAAAAAAAAAAAAAAAAATGATAATTCGTCATAAAAAATGTATACAAAAGTAATACTAAAAGTTTCTGTAAAAATGAAAAAAAAAAACGATAAAAAAATATATTGTCGTTCATGGTTTTTACGTAAAAGTTTGTTGTTTATTGCTGTACGAAGTCATGCAGTCGTCCCATTCAATTGAAAAATACTGTTTTTTTTTTTTTTAATTTTTCAAGGCTTAATAAATAATTCCAACGTTTATGTTACCATGTTGTTGTTTACCTGATTTTGTGTTAACAAGTTTTGCGTGTGTGCATGTGGGTATTCGTGAGCGTGCTATAAATACTATAGCACTATGTAGAGGCGAGCCCCCTTCACATTACACACACATATGTATTTACAGATAGTTTTTATTCTATATATTATTTCTATTTCGTGTGTTAATTTTATTGTTGACTTAATAAACTTATTTGCTTTAGCGATATTTTCATTAGAGTGAACGGCTTGTTTATAGCCTCTTGGAAACATTGATTATTCATTTATACTATTTTTAAGTATTATTTTAAATGTGAGTTTAATTTATTATTACTTAAAAAGGTTTACAAATCTTTACACAAAACTCGTTTTAATAAAAATAATAAATAAAATGACATTTGCAGTGACGTGAGAGACGATTTCATGAAAACCTTTATCAAAGATAATTTAAATGTTCTACATTTTTTCTATCACCATTGCATGCGATATTTTGTAGTCTTACAGGGTAGTAACATCCCTTGGTATGTGAAGAGCAAAATTTTCTTATCATTTGTTAACAATTAAGAAGTGAGACAAAATTTATTTGTATGTATAAATAAAGACTTCCAACAGAGAGAAATAATATCATCTCTAAAACTAAAGAAATATGAGTGAGATATTTTATAAAATTTCAATTCCATATCAAAGATAAGCTTTTGTTGTATATATTTCCTATCAGCTTTGCACGCGATAATTTGCGAATTGCTATAGCAATGTTGTAATGATCGCACGTGACAAACAGCATTTTCTTATCGCTTATTGGAAACTGAGAAAAGCAAAAGTAATGAGATTATCGCTTTTTCTATGCCATATAGATTCTATTCGTTTTATGTATTAATAATATCTCATGCATGATTAAAATCTTCATGTGTGCAGATGATGTGTTTAAACTGTTTACTCCCATAAACTACGAACTGCTTCAAGTTGACCTTAAAAATTTTATTACTTGGCGCTGCTTATTTAATTTCTTAACATTAAATCTGAATAATCGTTTTGACTGAGCATATTGCGGGCGAAAAACTTTATTAATTTGCTTCAACTACAATAAAATTGGTTTATGACTTAAAGGTGATTTTTGTTAATAAACTTCATCCTAACTTAACAAGTGATCTTTCCACAACGATCTATTTTAAGATATATTGAAGCATAGCGAAGAGAATTTGATGATAACTTTCTTTTTGGGGCGCACACACGAACATGTTTCCGTGGTATATATAGTCTTCATCCGATCGTGGCTATGCTGAGCCAGTTGGATCCATTTAAAAACATTTCTTGCCTTCGCGTTACGGAGTTTCCGCGGGACGTGCAAATACCATGACCAGCATCAGGCATTATTAGCCGAGTAGGTAAAAATTGCGACAATCAGGTCGATCTTTGCTGTTTGAAATTTGGTAGCTATAGTGGTTGCTCAGTTGGTAAAGACATAGCATTTGCCGATTAGGCACATATCTACTAGGTGATGGCCATCACTTTGCAATCTCTATCTCTTTCCTCGTTTATTTTTTAACTCCATCATGTTACACGAATAGATGATAATTCTCCAATTGATTTATCATATTGTAAAAAAAAAAAAAAACATCGCTTAAAGCATTACTCGCATTAGAAAAATCGGCGCTTAGCTTGCTCCTTCTTATTAAAGTTGAGAAACTTTTATCGATTTAAAAAGCTTAATAAATGTAATCAACTTCAACTGTCCAGTTCGTCCTTCAGTGTGCTGTCTTTTTGTGAAACTAAATCAATGTAGATTTAATTATGAATTATTTAACTCAAACAAGCAAAAGCCTGAATAACAATTATAATCTAATCACTCTATCGGATCCTATACACGTCATGAAATCAATTAAAAGCGATTAACGTTTATGCATTGCTGACGTCACAACTGAAGTAAAACGTTCAATTAAGAGTCGCGTCGCAAGCTCATAGAATACTCTAATGCGACACTATTGTTTGAGGCATATAGCTATATATTTGCAGAGAGCTTCCTGAGAACCGAGTTGATGATATTCGAAAGATGATTTCAGAATCATTTCAATGCAACCCGTTCTAATGTACAGAATTCAATCGCAACAGTCAGTGACCGTGCAGATCACGTTTCAACTTTCGCTTTTAAACTCTAATTATTTCCTATAAGATGATGAGCCAAATCTTGGTTACCACGCTTTCAGGGAACATGTTGCCTCCTTAAGTTACTTTCAATATATTCTACGCGAAAATTTCAATCAGATGACAAAATGCTCCTGAGACGCTCATACGCGAGATTCTTGTAAGCGATTTGCTTAAGTCAACAAAGATTTATATGATAATATATTCATAAAAATCGCGTTCCAGCCGTCAAATCGATTAAAGACTTTTTCTTCCGAACGAGCAAGGATAAATGTCATAACTAACAATCAGTGAACAAAATCGAAATATGGAAATGCAACGGTCTAATATAACGCTAGGAGCCGGTTTACAGCTGTCAATCAAGGAAATTTTACAGCTACCGACGACCATCAACTCTCTGTAGCGGGATGTTGTTAGCTTACAATTGTCGATAAAGTGTGCATTTTTCTTACTAGCGAGCGAAAAGTCTTTCGACCGCAAAATTGCTGTCGAGTAAAATATTCAAATTACGAACAGGTTAACGGCCCCAGATATCTTTCCCCTTTTCAAATTTCAAGTTATCTATCTATCTATCTCTTCAAAATATTTCATTAATCTAAGATAGGAAATTGTCTTTCCCGATACTTTTCGATCGAATGTATACAGATTGTTAAGTAAATTTATTATGGCTATTAGTATTTTTATCGTTCTATCGTTCGTACTTTCTACCCTTATCTTAACATTCCATTGACGTAAATTCATGATGACTTTGTATTGTATTAAAATGACATTTTTACAGCTATCAGTGTTTACACACGGTTACACATATATTTACAATATTCACAAATGTTAATATTTACATTATATGTCATATTACGTTTTAATGAAGACGCCATGACGTCAAGATCTTATCATTTTGCTAAATTATTAGTACGACTCCATGCTCTACTTCACACTCTACTCCCGATGGATTGATTACTAAATAGTGCAAAGTTGCGAAAATGTAACAACTTTGTGCAATTAATAACAAATTTTTGCTCCAATTTTCAATATTATTGAACTTTGTTCTAGCAATTATTAAACGATTTATTAACAGATAAGACAAAAAGCAGAACAAAAAAAAAAAAAAAAAAGAAAAAAACCATAGCACGAATAAAAGTGCAACGTAACGTCTTATCAAAGTCAATGTGAAAGCATAATGATAATCACGATAAGAACCGAGTACCGAGTACCGAGTAAATCGTTCTGCTATATCAGCAGTAAAAAAAAAAAAAAGGAAAAAACAAAACAAAGCCGGGCACCTACTCTGACGCTTTTCATTTTCTTTATTTACACAAACTTTCAATGCAAATTGTTGCATATCATTGTATGTACTGTGCTTTCTGTCATTGAATACAATGTATTAGCTAGATTGTTGTTTGTGTGTGTGTGTGTGTGTGCACCCTTTGACGTAACCGTATGCTTTCTTTCTTAACAGAGAGACAACAAGTTTTTTGCGTTGAAAAGCGTTTTAAAACCGACACGTGCCCCACGAAAATTATTCAACAAAATCGTATGCATCCGTCTTTTGTTTTCTTTACTCTTAAAGCATTGTTTTCTAAACAATGATGTTCTTGTTGATGACTTTTTTAATTATTACAAAATGTAAACAAATTAATTTTGTTAATATATTTGTTTTGCTCTGTTCTTCTCTGTTTTTCTTTTTCAGTTAATGATGGCCGCACTACTACCATACCGCAATATCGTGGTTTGGGCAGCGCATTTACCACCATATTCCGTCAGGAGGGATTTCGCGGCTTATATAAAGGTGTCACACCAAATGTTTGGGGTTCCGGTTCGTCGTGGGGTCTCTATTTTATGTTGTAAGTGTATTTAACAAATGAAAAAAAAAACAAGAATTTATTTTTAATTTTGTGATTTCTTCCATTTTTCTAGCTACAACACGATCAAGACTTTCATTCAAGGTGGGAATACGGCATTGCCATTGGGACCGGCTATGCATATGTTAGCCGCCGCTGAAGCCGGTGCTCTAACATTAGTATTCACAAATCCTTTATGGGTGGTCAAGACACGTTTGTGTTTACAATACGATGCGGCTGACAGCAAAACAGTCAAATATAACGGCATGCTGCACGGTCTAACACACATTTACAAAGAGGAAGGCATAAGAGGCTTATATAAGGTAAATTTTTCTCTCCTTATTCAAAGATTTATACTTGGAAAACGATATTGACCGGCAGTGTTTATCTTCGAATTTAGGGTTTCATTCCGGGCATGCTTGGTGTCTCACATGGTGCCATACAATTCATGACATACGAAGAATTGAAAAATTTTTACAATGAATATCGTAAATTGCCAATCGACACTAGACTGGTAAGTTTCAAATATTTGTTCTCTGCGTATTACCTCACAGTCTTACGTGCTTTAATGTGTATTATAAAAAAAAAAAGGAAAATCATAACATCTTTAAGATGCAGTTTGTTCAAAAAGGAGAAAAAGGGATTATACATGACGCGGACGCGGAATCACTTTGCTATAAGGCGCGACCATTACTTACCCTAGGCTACGCTACAAGCAGATGTCTCTTGAACAATTTTCTCTTTATAAACGTTGACAGCCATTACCGTACCTACCCATATAGGGGATATATGTCATCGAAATTTATGGGACGTGCCTTCAAATTAGGGAAAGCTGAGAATCGTAAAGTGCAGAAAATAAGCCCTCAATAGTTAGGAAAGTTAACAAAGAAGTAGCGACAGCCATAAACTCACAACGTGCTACGGCAAGTCGGCTATCGGCAGCTATCGAGTTTACCCGACATCGACAGTTATGAATTTGTCAAGAAGTTCATACATAATCACAAGTAGATCACTATCGATTTATGAGTGTCTGCCTGCTAGTCCAAAATAATTCCTTACAAGCGGCACACACGCCATTCTAATTAGCACACTTAAGGGCCGATTTAGAAAACCTTAAAAAGCTAATCTAAGAGAAATGAAAACGAAAATTTGGAATTAAATTTCGCTATTTTAAAGAAAATAGTCAGTTGCCGGACTAAACGGATGAAGAACGTGTCCACTACGATAGACATACTTTAGGTAACTAAGTAACCAAGGTTTTTGGTCGACACATATTTCTACATTTTACTAAATATTTGCCAAATCGATTGTGACATATACTGTCAATAAAGTAAAAAACTCTTACTTGTTCATAGCTCATTAATTTAAAAAATTCTGACCACTCCTCTTTTTTTTTTTCTAATTTCTTTAATTACTTTAGAATGTGCTTTTGTTTCTGTTGAATTGGTGGCGTTGCTGCCTTTCTCTTCAAAATATAATGGTATTGTTATTCATATACCAGTTGGATCAGTAATTTCAGATGTCGACGTAGCATACAATTGACGAATTAATTAACGTGCATTCAATTCTTCTTCGGCCCTGTTTGCAGCTGTTGCGGACTGCTCTTTAAAAGAATTTATATTAATTTAGTTGAGAGCTACGTTTTATTGCAACAATCACTTGCTGAATCAATCTCAGCTTATTTGTCCCTCTGTTAGTCTTGTTTTCCTACAAGTCGCAAATTTCGAGATATTATGATGAAATGGTTACATCGACATGTTTTGCTCCAAAGACGAATGCTATTGAAAATGGTTCCCATCCGATGAGTTTTTCGACCACTTCTGGCTGAACAACTGTAGTGTAGAGTGGTGCAAGGTATTTAATGGTGGGAAGCGGCACACTATAGTTTTCTTACTTGTTTTTTATATTAAAAATAACGATTAATTTTTTTTGCAAAAATCGGTTTATTTCTTCTACCTTTTTGAAATTTAGATTCTTATTTGTTAAAGCAAAAAAATCGCTGATGATCATAAAAGTGAACTCCTTAGACAAAAACAAAATAAATAAGTAAAGATATGACAGCTGATATCCTACACATGCGTGGCGAATTTTGACATGACTGGGTGGGCTGGAAATATGCTTTATCTGCTTAAAGGCATTTTTAATTTATTATGCCTCCGTCTATTGTCGTGCATTGGTGCATTGTCCTCTTTTCAAATTATAATATGAATCTCATGACTTTTATATCTATCGGCAAAGTATTACGACTATGTTGACTTTATTAGTCCGTCGATAACATTTATAGATAACATTTACTACTGAAACAGCCATCTTTTGCACATTTTCCAAAGTGGCAGGGAATGAGATAGAAGGCTGAAATGAATCTATTTTAGCTTAAAAAACTTGTAAATGTTCCCAGTTACACAAGTGGCTTTATCGATTCGCTGCCAGATTTTTCGATGAACAGGCCTTGTAACAATATTCTGCATTTTAGGTGCTCTATTAACAAAAATTTTTTTTTAAGTAGTTAATACTAGCAAAAAAAAATAGGTTTATTCTCAGTTCAAAGAAAACTTTTTAGCTTCTTGCTCTGAAGCGAATATTACTTGCCCAACTGCGATTATATCGCATAAAAGAAAAATATTAAACACATATATCTGCAATAATATCGCATGAAAACAAAATATCAATATCAAGTCGACTTTTTTATATCATACTGGTAGTATATTTTTCTATAAATTAAATAAATAGTAAGTAAGCATGGCATTCCTTCGCCTGTAGGCATAACTTAAGAAGAGAAAACCTAAACCAAAAGCCAGAAACTAATATCAATTAAGTTTTCTCCACCTGCCTATAAAACAGTCGCCTAAAACGCACTCTGTACAAAAGAAGTTATAAACATTTTTGAAATGTGTAGATAGAAATTTTTCGAAAAATCGCTTATGTGTCAATCGCATTACAAATGATAGAAGAATAGTCCTCTTTTTACTGTTGCCTAGCTTTCTTCTTATCGTTTGCTCCATTTATTCGTACATGGCGCAAGGCGGCATTGTATATTGTATAGAGGATAAATTTGCCTAGAATATGCATACTAAAGTTTCTTCTTTTTTTAATAAGTGAACAAGTAATCATTTCTCATTTCACTGTCATTCGTGCCTTTCTGTAATCGCAGAGCGATTGACGAAAACTTAAATATAATTATTTTCTTAAAATCATGTTTTACAGGCCACTACTGAGTATTTGACATTCGCTGCTATATCAAAATTAATAGCTGCGGCCGCAACATATCCATATCAGGTGGTAAGAGCGCGTCTACAGGATCATCATCACAATTACAATGGAAGTTGGGATTGTATTAAACAAATATGGAGGTACGAACGTATGCGTGGTTTTTATAAGGGTCTAGTACCGTATTTAGTGCATGTCACTCCAAACATATGCATGGTCATGCTAATATGGGAGAAATTGACAAATTAAATTTAAACGAAGAAAATGAAAAAAAAAAAAAAAAGAATCTAAACAAACAAAAGAAGCAAATATGTCTGTTTTCGAAATATTAATCCTTCTTTAATACTTTCTAACTCCAAATTTATGCATTCTACAATTTAAGCGAACAATTTTTTTTTCAAACTCAAACGCGTACATTTCTACTTAAACTTTAAAAAAAAAAAAAAAAAATACAAAATTAATTATAATTATAAATATAAGCTTAAGGATAACTAAAGGGAACGAAATGTTTAACCAGATGACTCGAAGATGACGATGATAAGATTGAAGATGAAGAAGATAGGAAGAAAGAGAGAGCGAAACAGCGTTAAATGACAAACACTCGTTTAGAGATTTCTTGCTAAAAAAAGATTTTTTGTATTACTGTTATTTTTTTAACTTAAACCTTTGAAAAAAAAAACATATTTTATTATCATTTTTATTATTTAAGTGCAACAGTATAAATACTTTTGTATAATTTTCTTATGTTTTTTTTCGTTTTTCATAATAACTTTAAGCAATGGTTATAAGTTCTTTGTATTGTAATTTTTTAAATACCGGAGCTTTTTATATTCGAATATTCATATGATTAGTGTTAGAAGAGACGACTAAGGAAAAATAGTGGACGAGAGTATTTCTTTTTTCTTTTCATTTTTAAAAACTCAACTTGAAAGATTGATGTTTTGGGTTTAGTATTAAGTTTAGACAATTTTTTAATAATTTAAATTTTGGATATTATTTATTGAATAAATTTCCACAAACACAATTTTTATATTATATATATACATATAGATTTACCTTTTAAAAGCTAAACTTAATAAACTATAAAAAAATGTTTAGAGTCTTGAAGGCTGCAAAGCTTTTCTTTACATTAGGGGAAGAGAGAGCGAGAGAGCACATCAAAACTCTTCTTTTTTTTTTTGTAATAACAACAGTAATAATAGTAATTATAAAAATTCTTATTTTTAGCCCCATAAGTTTTAGAAATAAGTACGATAAACTCTACAAAAAAAAAAAAAAAAAAAAAAAAAAAAAA